GAATGGGGGCTGCCCTAGCTCCCCCCCTTGCCATGGCTAAGGGCAAATGGGTGGAGTTGCTCTTAGTGGGCAATTATTTCACTTCTACTTTTTCCACCCTGATGATTTTCCTGGAACCTTTCGTAACTAATTAGTTGTGTAGTCTTGTAACTTCTGCTTCTATATATACAATCAAATGATCCCATGTCGTGCTCTAATTCTCAACATCCCTCCAAGCAATACATAATGCTCATGTTATTCTCAATATCTATCAACCTCAATTTCCTCGCAAGGAAAAAAAAAAAATCCAACTATAGTAAGTTATTTTCATTCATTATTGTTATTTAATATGCATGTTTATTATTTTCTATTCTACATATTTGGTGGTATTATCTTTTAAATTGTGTCAATTAATTACTTAGTCAATCACATGTGTTTTTTAAGTTTTATATTCTTTATTTGGTCACTTACATATGTGTTTATTGTCTTTTATTTCATTATTTAAGACTTTATATGCTTCCATCACATTTTGTTACATTTTTTTAATTATTGTTTTATATTGTTGGTCCATGCAGATTCTATTTCAGCCTTGCACAAAGGGTTTCATATTTAAGGTAAGTTTACAAACTTATATTTATATTATTTTAATTTTTACATTTTTACATTTTTTTGTGTGGATTGGTGCATGTGAGAACCAAATAATATTTGCATGTTAATTCTTTGAAGTAATTAAGTAATGTTGCATAATTCTTCCCTAGGATAATTTTAATACGTTTAATGTTATTTATTATTTTATTATTGAATTGTATTATTATTCCATATTAATTTCAAGTTTTTCTTACATTTTCCATGGTGTTTGTTCAATTTTTACCGACATAGATAGTTTTCTAATATTTTCATTGAAATTTCCTTATTTTTAGACCACTGATATTTCCGAAACTATCGATATTTTAGACCTTGTTGTTGGTGGAACATACTAACACTATTTGTTTAGTTTAATATAAAACAACAGTAACGTAATAATAAAAATAAAATAAAATCAAGTTAATTGAGTTTAATTAAATCACATAGTCAATTCATCATTGACTCAAAGTCAAACCCACAAGCCACTTGCATGGCCCAACCTAACTAATCTACCTACAAGACTATGTTATATAAGAGCATTTCCAGGGGAGTATACAAATGAAATAGGCAAAATTGTACTATAAGTTTATAACAACCTAGGTGGTGCCTATCCATTTGTCTCATGAAAAAAAGTTGGTCACTCCAAATGACTAGGCAATGCAAGTCTGTAAACCATTATTATATTATTTATTTTTATCTTTTACATTTACTATTATATTTTATAGAAAGTAGGTGAGAGAGTGGAGATGGTATTTTATTATAAAAAATAAGTAGTGGTACCTAATATACCTCTTCAAAATTTTATCTTATTTGAGATAGTAGGTAATTTTATTAGCTTTCTTGTTTTTTTTTTTTTGGTACTTTTATTTTGCTGTTGAAATTCAATTTGAATTTTTGTTTTCTTCTCCCGGGGAGCTCCACTGAAATAGAGTATTTCTTTTCTTTTTGTATGGAGCACATTTGACGGTGGAAGACTACTGTGGAAGTATATTTTAGTTTCACATATTTATAAGGTATCCAAGTTGTTTTATAGCTATACTTACTATTGATCCTTCTCGCAAACGCCAATTGTCTATCATAAACATGAATATAACCTATATTTATTTTAATGTCTTCATATGTCATTTACGTGTATACCATGATTTTTATTTAATTTTCTCATTCTATCTAAAATCAACTTTTGATACTCTTTCATTATTTTTAGGTTGCTAGAATTTGGATTATACCTAAAACATTAAACTTGTAATATTAAAATTTAATCATTATAATGAATTCTTAAATATATTTTTCTATAAAATTGAAATATATTGTAATTATAAAGCTATTTAAAGGTGAACGAACCTAAACTTTGGGTGATTAATAAGACAAAATCTAAAATTTAAAAAAAAAGCCCAACAGGAAATTGGGGCCGTATGCATGTTCTTCTCCATGGACCCAACAGGAAAATACAAAAGCAAAGCTTTGTACTTAAAACGTGTAAAGTAGGGGGCCTATTGTGCTGCCGCTCCCATGTACCCTTTTATTTCTTCAGTGTGTGAATAATGCTTTGAATTTTTATAAATTTATAAATAAACCCAATTCTAGACATGTATTT